TAGCATTTTAACTGAAAAGGAACCTTAGTAGGCATCGCATTCGGGACAGCACTTCAGAGCCATCATACGTCATAACTTTCACTGCGCTGTACACGTTTAATCTGTCTACTCTCAGTCGCTGGTTAACTTACACTCACCTCAGTGAATAAGGACAACTGCAGCAGCTGTTTGGAAATTTGTATATGAAGAACAGGGCGCTTTAAGGAGTCGTATCTGTTATATACTCGACTCGGCGCCCCAGATAAATACAGATATTCATACTAGTTTATAAATCATTTCACTTCATTCACTGTCCTCATCCACCTTAATGAACACACTTTATTTCTAACACATAAAGGACAAAAACTATGTATAATTTTGTATAAAATGCACAAAAGGATAGCGCACAGTCTGTTAAGCTGCTAATATGCATGTTATTTTATACATTCTCATTTGATCATCACTCACCTCACACTGATGTGACTGTGATAAGCACTGCAATACAAGACAGGCACAGCAGGCAAAAAAAAACATCTGGGGTACTTATTTTAAAATCATTTTATTTCTGAATTTCTTCATCATCCAGTGTGTTAAAATATTTTTTGCTGGTTCCACCATGTCCCCCCCTCACCATACCCTCGGCAAGTGAACTGCTTTCAGTCGTTCAGCACTGTTTTCTCCCCACTCCTCTTCCTCAGCCCCTCAGACAGCACCTTTCCGCTTCTGTAACGTTAGTTCCTGATGACTGAAAAAATCCCTGAGTATAGAATCAAATCGATTATTATTTACTTACAAAAAGCGCTACTAATTAGTGAACAGCCTATATTTTAAACTGGGCTCTCTCTCGATTAAAGAGCCAAAGCATTTACACAGCTAACCCGCTAGCTAAGCTATCTAACGTTAACTTCACCCAACAAGCAGCCTGTCAGGTCGCGTTAGATAAGTGAAATGCCTAAATTTCACCATAGGAACAATTTTTAGAGACCTATAAACACAAATATGTTCAATACTTTACACAAATACAACAATCAATCGAAACAGTAAAGACAGAAGTCAAGAAATAACTTACATTTACAGCCTCCTCAGTTGACAAAAAACAGCCTCCTCGTCCGCCATGTTTATCAAACTGAAGCGATGGAACTTTGAGCAGGTGAGCAGGTGAACAGTATTGTGGGATTGCCTTCGCTAAGAAGGAAACACGTGATGCTGCCCTCCAATTTGGTCAAAATAAGCCACCTTAGAAGGCAGCTGACTTAAGCTGCCTTCAGAATGGGACAGCTTTCGTCTCAGGAGCAGCGCAAATGCTGCTTTAGAATGCTGCCTATTTAGACAGCTGCCTCCTGATTGGAACGCACCACATATGTTTCATAATCACAGTTTAATCTTAATATATCTGCTTTTCTTGCAAGTTTTCTTGTAGTTTTATTAGAAGTAGGATTATAAAGTTTGTAGCTTGTGTGACAATGTATACTTTAATCATAGAGTTTCTGCCAACATAGCTACAGAAATATTGATGATAATTTACTCATTTATTTTACTCTGAGTTATTATGTAACTTATCTTTTAAGCATTGTTTAGAAATAGTAGTGAGACTTATAACTTAAAAATTGTTTTAACAGTTTCATTCCTTTGTCTAAGTAGTTAATATTTCTTATATGACAAGAAAGATTAAGGATTCAACTAATTGTATGTAACCATAATATGGTGTATGTTTAGATAACATAATCTGTAAGCTCCATAGTTATTTGTAATGGTCACTATGGAAACAATAATGTTTTATATATCAAACTGCATGCTTTTAAGTTTATTTTACTTAAGTGTAACCACACCCAGAATATCCAAAGCATTATGTGACACTTGAGCAGCATTCAAAGAAGTTGCATATTCATTATATGCAACCAAACAAACCAACCAAAACCTTTTCCCCACCTTAGCTCTGCCTCTCAAAGTTCTTTCCTTAAAGCCAGCAAACAGGAAGTTTGGACATAAGACAGAGAAGAGTTGGTCCTGAAGGGAGCGAGACAGTCAACATGTAAACAAAGAAACTACAAGTAAAGAAGCCCGCTCTCCTTCTCTTTAGCATTTAAATTCAGCAGATGTTAGATGTTTGTTTTGTTTAATTTACTCAGTAATCTTAAAGTGTTGGTAACTGTAATGTTAGACTATTAAAGAGCTCCATCTAGCTGCATTTGTTTTTCAAGTTTTGTCAACCTATTTTGAAAGTCTAATTGGCAACGACATGTCGCTGCAAACATAATTTAAGAACACACACAAAAGCAAACACAGTGCTGACTGAAATCCACCTCAAGAGCCTGCTTCAGCAACCCGGCCTCACCAATTAAACCCTGCAAGCAAGCCGGAAGGGCTGCATTCTCCACCAAGAGGTCGACACGAGCTCACCGGAAGCCTGCCTCACCTCTCCAGTCCAGCCAGATGCGGCACCCTTGAGGTTCACTTATTCAGCTTCGCCGAAGTGGGAAATTAGGTGCTTTGGAGGTCTTGTCCCCGCTACACTGCAGATGAAGATCAGTGTGTATGCGTGTTCAAGATGTGGCAAATAAGAAAAATCTGGGTCACAGTAGCAACCTTAAGCTTGACATGTGTTAGTCAGACCTAAAATTGGACCGTCCCTGCCCATGTCTAGCAAGACAGTTGAGATGCCCCAACTCCTAGATAAGTATATAATTATACGTAGACAGCAGTTAAAGGGTACATAAAAGCAAATATAAGTATTTATTAAATGTTGAATTATTTGATCTAGCTTCAGCACAGTTTTCACTTTGAATAGAAAAATATTTGCGCAATCAATACCAAAACATGAAATAACAAGCAGCAGTGACCATGTAGAACCTATATTACATTATATTTGACATAGGCTGTCATACAGTAATAATTTCTGCCTCTTTTTTTTTTAGGAAAACAGAAAATTCAAATGGCAAATAAAGCTGTCAGAATTCACCATAAAGAGCTTTCGATACAAAAAAAGTTATTTTACCTTTCTCTTCTTAACTGTCTTTGAATGGCAGGGTGAGCTCCTCCTAAACAGAGCTGAAGAGAATAAAGTTGCAGCACAATGTCTGAGATACGTTTACAGAAAATGATGCACGCTGTAACCCGCTGCCCCTTCAGTCCCAAGTAGCCACTTGCAGAATGTTGCCCGAAGCACTCAATCCTCCCAGTACCCCACAACGAAACACCAACCTTCTCCAGTGTCTGTGGAAATATGAACAGTCTGTTAGAACTTCAGAAAATGCTCTAAAAAATACCTAAAAAGCATTGAGCTCATTTCAAAAACACAAAACTCACAGTAAAACTAATGTTTTTACCAACCTGGTCTAGTGTGTTCAGGCTAATGGTGGATCACCCAGCGCTGCTTATTTCAGCCATGCAGCTCTTAAATTGGATTTTTCTGGAGTCTTCTACAGTCTCTTCTTCAAAAAGAAAGGGAAATTTACTTTCTGTGCTTCTTACTGCATGATGAGATGTACTTCACTTTAAACTCATGGCACTGACTGAACATGAGGCTGAACTCATACGTGCAGCTGTTCTGAGTCTGCAGTAACTCCATAGCAAAATGCAGGTTTTAAAATAAAATTAAGGATTTCAACTGAGATTATGAGCTTAAAACACTCAAAAACAGAGCAGGATTCACCTTCTGCCTCTAGCACACATGATCTTTTAGACCCGCCCATGAAGGCCACTGATAGACTTAAACGCTCATGGACAGACCATAATATAAAAGTTTAGCTTCAAATTAAAAACCCCTGCATATTTTGTGTCCTCAGCACTTTCTTTGGTCCTAGTTTGTTTCCTCCTTAAGTTCCAGCTCAGTTATTGAGAAATCTAAAGGGTTCTGATTATCCTTTATAGCCAATTCTGGTTCTTCAAGCTGTTTATTTATATGATTTTCCAAAGGATTTTTATTGACTTTCCTGAAGAGTATTTGTCCAAATAATTTGTCCAAATATCACCGTTTTGTATCGCCAGTTCTCCATGGTCTCTGTTTTTAAGCTGGTTCATGTTCTCTGTTTTTAAGATGGTTCCAGTTCTGCATGTTCTCTGTTTTTAAGATGGTTCCAGTTCTTCATGGTCTCTGTTTTTAAGCTGGTTCCAGTTCTGCATGGTCTCTGTTTTTAAGCTGGCTCCAGTTCTGCATGGTCTCTGTTTTTAAGCTGGTTCCAGTTCTCCATGGTCTCTGTTGTTAAGCTGGTTCCAGTTCTCCATGGTCTCTGTTTTTGAACTAGTTCCAGTTCTCCATGGTTTTTTAAGCTGGTTCTCTCAGAACTGGTTTGTTCTGATTGGCTCCTCAGTCAGTGTCAGCTGTTTGTGAGTGTACTGAGCCTTTTTGGTTCTGAGTGTACATTTATACTGCTTTAGTGTTTCACAGTAAAGAAGGTGTATGTTAGTGTTTGGATCTCTGAGCTTTTGACTTGACAGTTTTCTAAGTTTCTTTCTCATTTTTGTCACTCTTGATCAAACCAGTTGCCTTCTTTTTTCAGTGTAGGTTTTGACATAATCCTGATTTTCAGTTTTGTTTTTTTCAAAGATTGCCACACTGACTCTTTCTTTAATGTGAGTGTGTGTGGTGTCCAGAAAGCTGTCTAGAAGTGTTTGAATGTATTGATCTCTGATTGCTTTGTAGAACTCTTCTGTGCTGTTTTATGTCCATCTGTTTGGTCTCCTGATGCTGTACCAGCTCACTGGGCTGAGTGGTCAGTGCTGTTAGTCTCAGACAGAGGGGTCAGTGGTTTAACAGTGAATGTACTGAGAGAGAAAGTGTCTAAATCTGTTATCCTATAGTCTACTGTGCTATTGGGAAGAGGTAGAAAGTGTATCTTCCTAAAGAGCCCCCTTGTGTCCTGCCATTGACGATGTACAGACCCAGACTCTGACAGAGCTGCAGAGGTTCTTCTCTGTTTCTGTTTGTTCTGCTGTCGTGATTGTTTCTGTGGGGATAAAGATGATTGTTATTAATAAAAGATCATTTGTGTGTGTGTGTGTGTGTGTGTGTGTGTGTTTAGAGTGGAACATGGAGGTGAGAACAGAATCAAAACAGGACTGAAGAAATGTAAGTACACACACACACACACACTCACACACAACTATACACACTCTCTTTCTCAAACACAAACACACAGACACACACACACACACTCACACACACACACACACACAGACTCACAGACTCACTCACACACACAAACACACACTCACTCAGACATACACACACACTCACACACACATACACACACACACACAAACTCACAGACTCTCACACACACACACACACACACACACACACACACACTCAGACATACACACAAACACTCACACCCACCCACTCACTCACACACACACACACACACACACACACACACACCCATGCTCACCCCACAGGTAACCATGATATATGGGGACACTACTTTTCACTTATGCTGTTGAATAATTTAAACCACACAAAGATACATCCAACTTAAACTCACAGCTTTTACTTTCATATCATATACCAAATTATATCATAGAAATATACCAAATTCTCCTGTAACGATTAAAAATTAAACAGTTCGCACTTCTGTAATGATTAAACAGTTCACTTCTGTAACGATTACATATGGAACAATTCGCACTTCTGTAACGATTAAACATAAAACAATTTGCACTTCTGTAACGATTAAACATGAAACAGTTTGCACTTCTGTAAGGATTAAACACGAAACAGTTCGCACTTCTGAAATGATTAAACATTAAACAGTTCGCACTTCTGTAACCATTAAACATGAAACCATTCACACTTCTGTAACGATTAAACATAAAACAGTTCACACTTCTGTAACGATTAAACATAAAACAGTTCGCACTTCTGTAACGATTAAACATAAAACAGTTCGCACTTCTGTAACGATTAAACATGAAACCATTCGCACTTCTGTAACGATTAAACATGAAACAGTTCGCACTTCTGTAACGATTAAACATTAAACAGTTCGCATTTCTGTACCGATTAAACATGAAACCATTCGCACTTCTGTAGCGATTAAACATAAAACAGTTCGCACTTCTGTAACAATTAAACATAAAACAGTTCGCACTTCTGTAACAATTAAACATAAAACAGTTCGCACTTGTGTAACAATTAAACATTAAACAGTTCGCACTTCTGTAACCATTAAACATGAAACCATTCACACTTCTGTAACGATTAAACATAAAACAGTTCACACTTCTGTAACGATTAAACATAAAACAGTTCACACTTCTGTAACGATTAAACATGAAACCATTCGCACTTCTGTAACGATTAAACATAAAACAGTTTGCACTTCTGTAACGATTAAACATGAAACCATTTGCACTTCTGTAACGATTAAACATTAAACAGTTCGCACTTCTGTAACGATTAAACATTAAACAGTTTGCACTTCTGTAACGATTAAACATGAAACCATTCGCACTTCTGTAACGATTAAACATTAAACAGTTTGCACTTCTGTAACGATTAAACATGAAACCATTTGCACTTCTGTAACAATTAAACATTAAACAGTTTGCACTTCTGTAACAATTAAACATGAAACCATTCGCACTTCTGTAGCGATTAAACATTAAACAGTTCGCACTTCTGTAACGATTAAACATGAAACCATTCGCACTTCTGTAGCGAATAAACATTAAACAGTTCACATTTCTGTAACGATTAAACATTAAACAGTTCGCACTTCTGTAACGATTAAACATTAAACAGTTCGCACTTCTGTAACGATTAAACATGAAACCATTCGCACTTCTGTAACAATTAAACATGAAACAGTTCGCACTTCTGTAACAATTAAACATGAAACAGTTCGCACTTCTGTAACAATTAAACATAAAACAGTTCGCACTTCTGTAACAATTAAACAAACAGTTCGCACTTCTGTAACGATTAAACATAAAACAGTTCGCACTTCTGTAACAATTAAACATAAAACAGTTCGCACTTCTGTAACAATTAAACATAAAACAGTTCGCACTTCTGTAACAATTAAACAAACAGTTCGCACTTCTGTAACAATTAAACATAAAACAGTTCGCACTTCTGTAACAATTAAACATAAAACAGTTCGCACTTCTGTAACAATTAAACATAAAACAGTTCGCACTTCTGTAACAATTAAACAAACAGTTCGCACTTCTGTAACGATTAAACATAAAACAGTTCGCACTTCTGTAACAAATAAACATTAAACAGTTCACATTTCTGTAACGATTAAACATAAAACAGTTCGCACTTCTGTAACAATTAAACAAACAGTTCGCATTTCTGTAACGAGTAAACATTAAACAGTTTGCACTTCTGTAACGCTTAAACATTAAACAGTTCGCATTTCTGTACCGATTAAACATTAAACAGTCCACGCTTCTGTACCGATTAAACATTAAACAGTTCGCACTTCTGTAACAATTAAACATTAAACAGTTCGCACTTCTGTAACGATTAGACATTAAACAGTTCGCATTTCTGTACCGATTAAACATGAAACCATTTGCACTTTTGTAGCGATTAAACATTAAACAGTTCGCACTTCTGTAGCGATTAAACATAAAACAGTTTGCACTTCTGTATCGATTAAACATGAAACAGTTTGCACTTCTGTAACAAATAAACATTAAACAGTTCGCATTTCTGTACCGATTAAACATTAAACAGTCCACGCTTCTGTAACGATTAAACATGAAACAGTTCGCACTTCTGTAACGATTAAACATGAAACAGTTCACTTCTGTAACGGTTAAACATGAAACAGTTCACTTCTGTAACGGTTAAACATGAAACAGTTCACTTCTGTAACAATTAAACATTAAACAGTTTGCACTTCTGAAATGATTAAACATTAAACAGTTCTCACTTCTGTAACGATTAAACATCAAACAGTTCACTTCTGTAACGATTAAACATCGATCAGTTCACTTCTGTAACAATTAAACATTAAACAGTTCACTTATACTTCTGTAAAATTTATAAATGAGGTCACTCTCAAACACTGAACACACTGAAACTATTTTTTTTTTAAATTCAGTTAATTTGTTGTCCATGACTTCCAAACCACCTTCTTCCATGTTACTGTGGTCTCAAGTACACCGTGCACCAATGAGAAAGCCAAAACATATTTAGAATCAACAAACACCTGTAATATCCATTTCTTGTTTGAAAGCTGGTTCAACACATAAACCAAGTAACATTATCCCACAGCTTCAGTTATTCCATCACTAAAATAAACAAACGCTCTCTGCTGTGTGGACAAGTTCAGAAATGTGGGAAATTGCATAAAACAATGAAACACACATTTCATGGTGAAAACTGAGTAATCAAAACATAATTCTAACGAATCTGTTATAATAAAATTGTCATTTAATAATATACTCTGATCAAATTACAGTCAATGTAATTTGGGTACATGATGCAAACTTTTCAGTCTGATCAGTCTTACCTTCTAGTGAAGATTTCAGGTTTATGGCAATGCTAATGCTAATTTCATAAATGCATGGTACATTAATTTCACCTAAAATAAGTAGTAGAACAAAGTGACCAACAACTGCCACTAAATATAAGCACACTTGGTGTTTAAATACACATCTCAGGGACTTGTTTGTAAAAAATGTGTAGAAGAATCCAAATATAAAAAACATTGAATGGGAAATATCCTCATTGATAAAAGTGCATTATTTGTCTATTACTTCACTCAGCTCTTTCTGTCATGGTGCTTAACTAATGCAACAAACATTTACAGGAACAGGTCGTCATGAAAGCTACACCATCTGCTTTTTCAGTTTTCACAAAACCAGATGAGTACATCAAAAGACACTAAAAAATTAAATAGCTGAAATTTCATCCAGAGACTTCCCCCTGAGTTTTGGTAGCTGCCCTTTTCCATGGCAATCAACAGTTTAGAAATCTTGGCCACTTGCACTGTCGATCCTGGCAGGTGGTAATATTATCTGTGAATCCTGATACCATGATCTGTGAAGTCAACCCGCTGGTCAAGTTCACAGTTCTTTAAATTCAGGACCTGTGAAACTGTAGCCACTTGTTTCCTCAGTTCAAGTCAAGTCAAGAGGCTTTTATTGTCATTCCATCTGTGTACAAGTATACAGTGGAGTGAAATTACGTTCCTCCAGGAACAACAAGGTGCAACATGGGACGAAATAGACAGTACAGAAAGTGCAAACGTGCAGACGTAAGTGTGCAAAACATTAAACTAGAAACAATAAAATAAATACGATAAATAAAACAGATAGACACAGTAAGCAGACAGGACAGTGCAGCCCTGACACAGCACTCATTTCTGAACATGAGGTAGTGAGAATAAGATGCAAGGATTATTTAACATTGTGATCTGTGAGTAAATGCAGTCAGATTATAACATACCGGAGCACAGCAGTTCCTGAGGTAGGATATACACAGATTTAGAGTAAACAAAGTGAAAACAGCAGCAATGTTCCAGACAGTGCAAATAAAGCATCAAAAGAGGAGTGTATGTGTGTATGTGTGTGAGTGTAAAGTATGTGTGTGAGGGGGGATTTTCAGTTGAATTGAGCTAAGATGTTTGGGATTTTTGCACCACGGTCACGAGCAACATGCCGAAGTCTTGTCCCCTATAATGACTGAAGCATTTGGGAATCCCGGAAAGGAAAATATTTTCTCTAGGAACATGACAGTCCTGGCTTTTTTCAACAATCATTGTGAGCACCGTAGCTGGGGTACGGAGAACAGTTACCCTGCATCCTTGTTTGCCTCTCAACTCAATTCTGCTAAAATGCTGGCAGAGCTTCTGCACATCCTTGTTGAGGGTTTATTCGTCTTTCCTTTAAAGTTGTCAGGGCACAAGCAGAAATGTTTTCAGCCCATTTTGATTCAAGAAGCTTCTTGAATGCTTTGGCTCATTTCTTCAGCTCATCATCACCTGACGTCAGTGCTCTACAGTGAACTATATCACTTTGTGCAAGGAGTGACCAAGATTTAGTGCAAGTTATGATTTGACACTTTGTTGTGAAGCATAATGACTAGTGTTCCCAGAGTTTTTGTCTGAC